TGGGTGGGTCTTGCCTCTAGCCTCTTTGCAGGGAGTTCTGCTGAAGGGTTCCGTGCTGGGCCTGCACTCTGGGTCGAATGAGGATCCGCGGGCCCGGGTCATCTCACTCACTCGCTGGGCCTGCGCTCCAGTTCTGTTCAGGATCCCGCCAGCCGGGGTCGGCTCACTCACTCACCAGGCCTGTGCTATGGGTCTGTTCAGGATCCTGCACCCCCGGGTGGTCTCACTTACTCGCCGGGCCTGCGCTCTGGGTCTCTAATTTCCTATTTAATGATTTTTCTGTTTTTTGTACTGTGGCAACTTAGCCATGTAATTTAGGGGGGGCTAGAGTAATAGTTGTTGTCTTTTTTTTTTTTTTTTGTTGTTGTTGTTGTTAAAGAACTGGGCCAAATACAAAATTTCTAATAATTACACTTATTTGGGATAAGAGAAATTTAATATTGGTGAAGAATAATGATTGAGGTTGTTTAGTCCTGCTGCTTTTTATTTATAAATGAACAAATGAGAATCATAGAGCTTACTCAGGATTCATGAATCTTCTCAATGTCTTGAAATGGCATTGCTCATTTTGTTCTCCATGTTGTGACTTGGATCAAAATCATTTTACTCCTAATAAAAACAGTGTTATTTTACCTTGGGGCAGGGCTGTTATGTTATTCTGAGGTGCTTCCTGAACAAGAAACACATAGGAGACATATTAAATTGTGTTCGGGGTCTGGGATTTAACTCGGTGGTATAGCACCTGCCTAGCAAGTGTGAGTTCCTGAGTTTGATTCCCAGTACCCCCCAAATTGTGTTCAGTAAATGCATGCTTAGGTTGAGGCTCATTTTCAGTCTATATATATGTATGTCTGTGTCTGTGTCTATATCTATATATTTTAAGAGAATAAAAATAAGTCATTAGAAATGATGCAAATTTCAAAAAAATAAGATGATAGGAATTCAGCAATGATTGTTGTATTGCATATTGTTGTCTTCAAAGTAGTTGTTCAGATTACCAGATATAAGCATGTATGGTTGGTCGATAAAAAGCATTAACTGTTTCTTTCAGCTACTCAGAGGAGAAGCTCTTGCAACCTGAATTTTAAAACTGTTAGCAAACTGTTAAAATGTTTGTTTAGTGTTCCTGATACACTAAGTAAGCTCGGTGAGAATTCCCTAAGTCAATTATTCGGCAATAGAAACAGAGGAAAATGCATAATAAGTTAATCAGTAGTCTCTAAATTTTTGACACCATATAAAGTGACACTGACACTCTAAACTCAAGCTCTGAAGTGTTCTAAATGACTTCTGAGGTTTTTATTTGCTGCACAATTAGACATTTTTAGAAAATGGAGATATGTAATGAAGAAATTCACTTTTAATGAAATAGTACTGAGTTTTAAAAATCATACCATACTTCATCTCACTTCTATTTATTATATCCCTATGAAATATATTGTTACTCAGGGTTTTGAACAACAATTTGTGTATCATTTTTTTTTTAAACATTTATTTATTGTGTGTGTGTGTGTGTGTGTGTGTGTGTGTGTGGCCAACTCAGCCCACCAGGGGGCGCGGCTGGCTGGCATGTGGTGCTGTTGGAGGATTGAACCGCGGTCCCGCGGTCCCTGTGCTTTGCCAAGCTTGTTCCAAGTAGGTGCTTTAGACCACTGAGCCATCTCTCCAGCCCCTTGTGTATCATTTTAAAAAGAAAATATCTTGGTAAAACTGCATTTCAAATTAAGGTTTTTCATTTGCAAAGATAAGTTGAAAGGCTAGAATATGTACAGAATTAGTAGTAATGGATTCAAAATACTGCTCAATTGAGCATTGAAATCTGTGCTGTTTCTATAAACCCTTTCAGAAGGTGTGCTGTTTACCTGGCTAGATGTGACACTTGTTATATTTAAATCTGCTCTATTAGGTGCTCCATAAAAGTTGAAAAGTTTTTTTTTTTTTTTTGAGAAAGGAGCTCGAAATGCCTTTAGGGCATTTAGCATTTGCAGTGTAGCTCTGAGCTAGCTCCCCAACCACTAGCTTAATGTTTTGCAGGGAGAAAAATTTTTTTTTTTTTTTTTGGTGGCTCAGGCTGCCTGAAGGGCAGGTTTGGTAAGGCAGGAGGAGCTGGGGATTGAACGTGGTATCCTGCTCCTGACTGTGTTTGCATGAGCAGGTGCTTAAACAACTGCGCCAACAGGCAGGCCCCCAAATTTGGTGTATCTGAAAAGTTCAGCAGGGTTTTTTTGTTTTGTTTTGTTTTGTTTTTCTGGCTGAGAATGCCTAAAGGGCAAGTCTGGTGAGGCATGAAGATCTGGGGATTGAAGCACAGTATCCTAAGCCTGACTGAGTTTGCTTTAGCAGGCACTTAAACAACTGGGCTAACTGGCAGGCCCATAGAAGTTGAAGTATATAGTCAGTAAGTAAAAAGAGAAAATGACAGATGAACCTAATTTTTTGATAAAATAGTTACCTAAATGGTAAATAATGGTATTTGATAAGGTAAACTGTAATACATCCACATTAAAGTCCTTCATAATCATAGTTTCTGGGTTTTTTTTAGGGAAGAGTCTACAGAGTGTTCAGGGTCTCACTATTAGATTGGACTCGTGATCCGCCTATATATAGCCTCCCAAGAGCTAGGATTACAGGTGCACGCTACCATACCCAGTCTTAATTATTGGTCTCAGTGCACCCCGGGGGCAGGGCTAGCTCAGCAGGACCTGTGATTGAGCCCCCAGCCTCTGCACGAGCTTGCAGGCGCTATAATTTCACTGAGCTATTTGGCTGGCCAATTTTTTGTTTCGATAATAGAATTTTGCTGTGTAGTTCAGGCTGGCCTCAAATTTATTATGTAGCACAGAGTGGACTTGAATTCACAGCATTTGTCCTGCCTCAGCATCCTGGATGCTAGGATTAGAGGTGTACACCACTATCCCTGGCTGATCTTTGAGAAGGGCGTCTAACATGATAAAAAAAAAAAAAGGCATTAGTATTTAATGAAAAGATTAGCTGCATAACTCCTGATTGCAGAAAAACACCGAGGACTGGAAGGAAATAAGCTAAAGTGTTACTAGTTGTTGCCTCTGGATAGTGGGATCATGGGCATTTTCTTTCTTTTTTATTTTCCCACTGCTTTGCTCATGTTACTTCAATAAAGTGCTCTATGATTTGCAAGGAGTTGTCAGTTTTATAAAACAAAGTAAGAAATGTTTTATGTAACATTTTCAATTTTATATTCTTGAGCCATTCCTTACTCAGTTATTGAATAAATTGTTGGCATCATATAAATATTTGGATTCTATTGAGGAAACCTGAAGCTAAAAGTGAATAACAGAATCCAGAGCATTTTATTTTATTTTTTTTATTTTTGGCACCAGGGATCAAACTTAGAACTTGCACTTGCTAGGCAGATGCTTATGCCACTGAGCAATATTCCTGGCCCCGGAGCATTTTTAAATAATAGTTTTTTTTTAATATATAGAAGATGTATTTCACAATTTTGTCATTTTTTTATTGTCACTTTTTCAGTGACAAAAGCCATGTCTTTTAAAAAGAGTCTTCAAAAGGAAACGTGTTATATTTAATCTTTTATATTTTGTAATCTTAAATCTGTCTATTAATGTAGTTAAACTTTTTCTGATTTTTAGAGGAACAGAAGGAAACAGAAAAGGTGAAAGAACAGAGGCCAGTGGATTCAGTAAACCACTCTACGGCCAGTGTTTTAGAAGAGACCACTGTAAAAACTGAAAAAGATGATGAAAAGGAACTTACAAAACTTCCAGTGATTGTAAAGCTAGAAAAGTCTTTGCCAGAAAGTGAGGAAAAAAAGATTATAAAAGAAGAAAATGATTCTTTCAAGGAAAATATCAAACCCAGTAAAGTTGAAGTGAAAGATCCCAAAGATAGCAAAGGCAGCTCAGAGAAGGTCGGGGTGCTGGACCCTGAGAGGCTAGACTTCAGTGGCAGTGTCAGGTCTTCTCAGGACATTATAGAAAAGTCTCTCGAAGAAACTGAGAAACTTAAAAATGACCAACAGGCAAAGATACCTCTTAAAAAACGAGAAATTAAACTGAGTGATGATTTTGATAGTCCAGTCAAAGGACCTTTGTGTAAATCAGTTACTCCCACTAAAGAATTTTTGAAAGATGAAATTAAGCAAGAGGAAGAGACCTGCAAAAGGATCTCTACAATCACTGCTTTGAGTCATGATGGAAAACAACTGGTAAATGGAGAAGTTAGTGATGAAAAGATAACTCCAAATGTTAGACCAGAGCAAGCTGAGACGAAGTTTTATGATACAAAGGAAGATGTCTGTAGCAGCCTTTCTAAGGACAGAAGTGTCATCATGGAAGGAAATGGAGCAGAGTCCTTAAGTTCTGTCATAACCAGTACTAAAGTATACGAACTTGAGAAAGACATGGTCCCTTTAGGGAAAGCTGCAGACAGTCCAGTGTCAGAGACTCACAGTCAGAAAGGGCTGTCGGAGGAACTTGGTATTCCGGAAATGGAAACTTCTTTGGAGTGTTCTAAAGTAGCAAAAGATCTCTCTTTAAAAACTGCTTTATCTATCACGGAATCCTGCACTATAAAAATTGAAGAGAAGTCTCTCAAATGTGTGAAGGATAATAGCCCTCCAGCACTAGAATGTCTTGAAAAAGTAGAAAGGTCTAAAAAGACACTTCTTGATAAGGACACACAAAGATTGAGTCCAATACCTGAAGAAGTTCCAAAGAGTACTATAGAATCAGAAAAGCCAGGCTCTGTTGGGGCAGCTGGCAGTTCCCCCCCATATAAGATGACTGCCCACTGTGAGAAACGAGCCTTAGAAACAGAAGGGGTGGAGTGTCAGAGTATAAGCTCTGTTGAAGGTCTGGAGAAAACAGACCCAGAAATTCTAAAAGAAAATGCTGAGTCCATGAAGGTGGAAATGGGTAATCTGGACAGTACTCACGCCTCGGGGTTAGGCGACCCTTCTGAGACAAAGGATTCTGTGCAGAAAAGCAAATTTAAATACAAGTTGGTTCCTGAAGAAGAAACTATTGCCTCAGCAAATACAGAGATAACCTCAGAGAGGCAGAAAGAAGGTATCAAATTAACAATAAGGATATCTAGTCGGAAGAAGAAGCCAGATTGTCCCCCTCAAATTCTAGAGCCAGAAAGCAAGCCAGAGAAAACGGAAAAGGAAGAAGAAAAAACAAATGTGGGACGTACTTTAAGGAGGTCTCCAAGGATATCTCGACCTACAGCAAAAGCAGCTGAGATCAGGGATCAGAAAGCTGATAAAAAAAAAGGTGAAGGTGAAGATGAAATTGAAGAGGCAGCAGCTTTGCAAAAAGCAGAGAAAAAAGAAAATTTGAAAAAAACAGAGAAGGATACAAATTTGAAAATAAGCAAGGTAAAATGTCTATCCTGAGTATTAAATTATAGTTAGAAATATTTGTGTCTGTAGCTTTTTGCTTTTGCCTGAAAGAGTCACTCAAAAATAAGTAAGGGGGAGAAACTTCATTTCTCAATCTTTTCTCGGTAGTTAGCCCTGGATGATAAATTTCAAACTGTATATTCTTTCTTTTTTCTGTGATAGGCAGACAATATCTTTTAGTAAACTGTTAAATAACACCTACCCTGTATGGGTGTACAGTGAAAATTCTTTATAACCATTAATAATAATTTGGGGTGCATTTTGTTTCCGTCCATGGATTTATGTGTGTTCTTATAAGCAATATAAAAAATAAATTTGATCCAATCAGTTCATTTTTCTGTTAGCTTACTTAATATGTAGTCCACCTTTTGTTTATTAATGAACACATAGTATTTCATAATGTGGCTATACCTCAGTTTATTTAACCTTATTAATTGACATTTAGGTTGTTTCCAATTTTTCACTATTACAGGCAATGCTGCATTGAAGATCCTTTTGGACATGAGTGAGTATTTCTTTAGAATAGACTCCTAGAATTGGAATTTCTGGGTCAAGGGGCATGTGTAGGATAATTTCTCATAACTGCTGTCACATTGCCCTCCCAAAGGCCCTACAAATGAACCATCTCATCCCACTGACTAGGATACCTTGTTTCCCCATTTTAAATGTCAATCTTAGAAACCTCTTTTTATGTGATGCTCTTATTAAAAAAAAAAAAATCTTAAAAGTCAGCTATAGATTACATGGTAATCAAGGCCAGCCTGTACGACTAATTAAGACCCTATCTCAGGAACCCCCCGCCCCAAAGTCACTGGCTTGTCTGTTGGATTTCATTATAAATAGGAATGCTACTTTTGCTTTAAATTTTTTTAAGTGATTGGAATTTTCTTCATTGTTAAGTGACCCTTTGTTTCTTCAAATACTACATTTTTGTATACTTAATTTTTTTCTCATACTTATTTTGTTCTTAGCTAGAAAACTATAGTGAAAGAATGGTGTGAATTACAAGTTAAAAACTACAAAAGTACGTAATAAAAAGCAGTTCACAGCATTGCATAGCTAAATTTTGTCAAAATTTTTATATTGAGCACTGATCCACTTAAAAATTTTAGGTTTGGCCCAGGGAGACAGCTCAGTGGCATAAGCGCCTGACTGGCATGCACAAGGTCCTGAGTTCGATTCCCGGTACCACAAGACAAAAAAAAAAATTAGGTTCATTTTTCATACAGGCTGTAAATAAAACAGTGAATATATAGTCTTCTATTTGTTACTGACATATCCTTTAAGGTGTGCATGGCCTTTGACCCAGAATCCTCTTCAAGGAATTTATCCTAACTACAAAAGTGTTTGCAAAAATTTATATTTACAAGTAAACATTGTTTATAAAGTGAAAAAATGGGAAACAACTACCTAAATGTCTAAGAGGGGATTAGATTAATACAGTCACATGATGGCATATTTATACAGTCATTGATAATGATGTTAGGAAAATATTTTATAAAGAAAAATATTTATAAGACATAGTCATTTTAGTTTGATTTTTGAAATCCCCAAAAGTAATGGAACTGCATACCATAATTTGATAGTAGGTATATCTGGCAATGAGAATGATAATAATTTTTCTTTGTATATTAATTAAATAGTCCTTAAGGAAATTTTCTTATTGTATCAAATTATCTTAATTTCACTTTATACAAGGTAAAACCCAAAGGCAAAGTTCGATGGACTGGTTCTCGAACACGTGGCAAATGGAAATATTCCAGCAATGATGAAAGTGAAGGGTCTGACAGTGAAAAGTCATCTGCAGCTTCAGAAGAAGAAGAAGAAAAGGAAAGTGAAGATGCCATCTTAGCAGATGATGATGAACCATGCAAGAAATGCGGCCTGCCAAACCATCCTGAACTAGTACGTACCTGATCTAAATAAGCAATAGTGTATCACAAATTATTATGGTTGACCAGAGCACCGTAATTCTTCTGAGTTTTGTCATAATTTGAAATTTTTTTTTAAATGTTACTTAGCTTGTATTTTGCAAAGTAACCTTATTTCTTTTTTTCAAATAAACAATCCAGTTTGAAGAAGGACAAGGATCAGCATCTTGCTTTTATTCTACCTGGCATATATATTGTTATTTTCACTACTTAGTAACAATGTACTATTCCTGATTTCTTCTCATATTTCAGTGAGTTTATTGAAATATTTCTCTCCTGGCCAGGCCCAATGGCACATGCCTATAATCCTAGCTAGTTTGGAAAAAAATGCAATAGAATCACAAGTTTGAAGCCAGCCTGGGCAGGTTAGCACCCTGTCTCAAAGAAAAAAATAAAATAGGGCTGGAGATGTAGCTCAGTACTTTAATGCCCCTGGGTCAGTCCTCTGCACTGTTAGGGTAAAAAAACAAGAAAACAAAAAACCTGTTCTTTTTCTTTATTTTTGTTTTTTGTTCCCTTTTTGAAATATCAGCTTTAAGTAAGATCTTAAGGCCTTATTGCTTTCTATAAAAACATAAATCAAGTGGTAACCTAGAAGGACTTGAATTTGTTTTAAATTTATAATTGAAAAATAAATTATAAGCCAGATGTATTCAGAGTAGCACCAGATTTATATGGTGTTTTCTTACCCAGTGAGCAAGCTCTTCAATGGTGGCCTACATTAGGAGAAACTGTCCCTAATATATAGAATTATTTATTTTTTATTCTTATTTTTTTTTTTGTTCAGTTCCTTGGTGAGTCTGTTCACTCTTACTGTTCCTGATTTTGTACATCTCTGCTACGATAAAGGCTATGAAAGTTCAAATTTTTATGCAGCAAGGTCAAGAGAAGGTTTGAGATAGCGTTTTATACCTTTTAAATCGGAATAAGCAGTGCTTTTGTGTTTTTTACTTAGCATATTCTAACATCCTTTTAAGAAAAAAAGAGTGCTTTTTACTTAAGGCAGCAGCAGCTGAATGTGACACAAGTGGGGGCAGAACAAGTAAAATGCAGAGAAGAGGGATAAGGAGTCAGAGTTGTCCCCTTCTGGAAGGACACACAGGATTTTATTTACTTAATGACCATGTGAAAAAATCCCACTGGTGTTTACTTTGTCACAGAGAATGTCACTGATGCTGAACATCTCTGTACTGCAAATTTGTACTAATAAAATTTTTTTTTAAAAGAACCTGAAGATCTCCAAATCTCCAGGTGATAGATTTCTCATGTCAGGTACTTAATCCTCAAAACAACAGGCAGCTATTGTTTGTTCATGGTAGGGATAGGATGTTGAACTGGATATGAATGGTCCTTGTCCTTACTGAGCTTATGGCCAAAAAGCACTAAATTTTAGGCATTGTGATCAAGTAGCAGTGCACGGTATGGAGAGGGAAGAAGGTAGATTTCTACTTTTAACCTTTTCTCCCCCATGGCTTAGGTAGAATTTTAGAAGCTACATGTATACTAGGGTTGAGCAAATAAAATGTACCTAATAGAAGATAGAGTCTTCATTTTTAGCAAAACCTCTTGAAAGATCTTAACATACCTAATAGTGGTGAACATCCAGACCACCTAGACTTTGGTTTCTCAATAGTATTTTCCGATAAAAGAATCAGAGCTTTTTGGAGCATTCTGTGGCTGGCATAGGCAAAATGTGCCTGGAAGCAAACATACATTTTCCTTAAGATTATCACAGAACAAATATGAAGGCGTATCCTTTGTGTCCATGGGTGGACAATTCCAACAACAAATTAGAGACAGGATGTTTGCATAGCTTATCATACCTTCATCCAAAATATTTGTACAATACTTTATCACTTACTACAGTGACTTAATTATGTCCAAAGCCCAGAACTCCAGTCTAATCATGAGAAAACATTGAACAAACCCGAATTTAGGGACAGTCTGTAAGATACTGGACTAGTACTCTTCAGATTTCTGAAGCACAGAAAACAGATGCAAAGGCTTTACAGATAGGGGAGGAAGGAGAATGCAGTCATCCGAGCTTCAGAATGAGAAAAAGCACAGTGAGTGGAAGAGCTGGTAAAATCTGATACTATTCCGATTTTGTTTTGGTAGCTGTTTTGTGGTTATATAAGCTTTTAATCATGGTGAAAGCTGAGAGAAAGGTACGTGGGAACTGCATCTCTTACATAAATCTGAAATTATTTAAAAATTAAATGATTTTTGAGTTAAACATTTGTGAATATACCATGTTTTAGAGAGTTGGTCATCTTAAACTCAAGCAGCAATAAAATATCAATTGTAAGACTAATTGTTATTACTACTGATAGTCTTTGTATTTGAACATATGGTTCTTTTTTTAAATCTGTTTGTTTGTTTGTTTGTTCGTTTGGCACAGGGTCTCACTATGCAGCTCAGACTCTAATAATCCTCCTGTCTCACATGCCTCCCCAGCACTGGGATTATAGGCGTGTGCCACCATGCTTGGTTTCGGTGCCCAGCAAGGCTCCTGGGGCTGGTATGGCATGCAGTACAGAGGATTGAACCTGGGTCCTTGTGCTTGCCAGGCAGATGCTTAGAACACTGAGCTATCTCCCCACGATAAAACATACGATTCTGAATATTCCATTCCTTTTCAATATCTCAGTCCTTCATTTGAATTTGTATGCTAAAAGCAAATATGAAAGGTATTTGAAATGCTATTAAAAGACTTTTTGTATTTTTAAAATTCCATGTGTGTATTAATTTCTGATACTTGAGCTTTAAAACTTTGTTGTAAGACTGGCAAGATAGCTCAGTGTACTAAAGCACCTATTTAGGCAACCTTAGGCAAGCGCAGGAACCGTAGTTCAAACCCTGGCACCACATGCTGCACCAGCCCCAGCCAGAGTGTGGGCATAGTGGTGCATGCCTGTAATCCCAGCCCTAAAAGCAGGAGAATCATCATGAGTCCAAGCTGCGTAGTGAGACCCTGCAACATCAAAACACAAAAAACCCTTAAAAAAAAAAAAGAAAACCCTTTATTATAAATTGTGCTGTTATCACACTTATAACACACAAAAAATGATTCTTTTTCAGAAAGGGCTTGCTATTTTTCACTCAATTTTGTTTTTTGGTTTTAGTTGTTGTTTTGTTTTGTTTTTTTGGCAGAACCGGGGATTGAACTCAGGCCCTTGCACTTGCCAGGCAAGTGCTTATTCTACTGAGCCATCTCCTGGCCCTTTTCACTCAGTTTTGTACTTTTACATTTTCTTAGTCTTTTGGGGGGTGCTTTTTAAACTGGCATGTCAGAACCCTAATCATCAGAGGTTTTTTACTCATTACCTCTATGCACATAAAGAATACTTTACAGTAGAATATTAAGTATTGAAGTGTCATATTCTTAAGGTCAGCATTATGTGGTTGAGCCCTAGAGTTAGGTTGACGTTACTGTGGTTTATTTCAGATTCTTCTGTGTGACTCTTGTGACAGTGGATACCATACTGCCTGCCTCCGGCCTCCTCTGATGGTCATCCCTGATGGAGAATGGTTTTGCCCCCCTTGCCAACATGTACGACCCGCCCAGCCCTTGGTCTCACATCTGAATTAATAACACTTCTTGATAGCCACTAAGTATCTTCCATTTTCAAAGAATTTGTTAACAGTATTGCCTCTTGTTTAGACATGCACCTTTCATTAATACCTTTTAGGTCATCTTTTTGCTTTTCCCAAAGCAATTCTCGAAGTCCTCCAACTTTTATGAAATTATAGTGGATTTCTTTCTTACAGTTGTTATGTGCCCACAGAGTACTAAATTTAGATATATACAGGAAGAAATCTGTCAGTATTTTCTTTGTTCTTACCTGTTTTTCATTTCTATCTACTGTTTTTTTGTCAGTTTTATTGATAACATCAGTATTAGAAGAAACATGGTTCACTTCTTTATGATTCAAATGATTTTTTCTTTTGCGACTGAATAGGGTATTTCTGTGCCACTGTAACATGTACCATTTGGGTACTTTGTCTGACCAGCCCACACTCACTTTACTTTTAAAGTGATGATGGGTGTTACATTTTTAGTGAACTGTATGTACTCCTGAGGCTTTGCATAGTGAAATAAATTTTTCAAAGTTTGTTTTGACACAGTAATCCTGTGGCATTATTTTATTCATTTTTTACAATCTATTTTTCAAAATTTGAGTTCATACTTCTATATATGACATATAAATACTCTACCTTCAAATAGGTTTTATCTTTTTGCTTTAATTATACATATGATTCTGTGTATGTCTGAATTAAATGCTATTTTCACAAGTTTATTGTGATACTGAGAATTGAACCCAAGGCCTTTGCACTAAGCTACATTCCCAACTCCTTTTTTCAGTTTTGAGACAGGGTCTTGCTAAATTGCACAAACTGGGCTTGAACTGTGGTCCTTCTGCCTCGGCGTCCCCAGGTGCTGGGATTCCAGGTGTGCACCACCTTGCCTGTTTCCAAATGCTGTTTTAAACATAAGACTACTACTTAGGCACAGAATGGGGTGCCTGCCCTCACCTAATACAGTATGCATTTCCTCTAGTGTACGTTTCTCTGTGCTCATTTTCTGTTCTCTAAAGCACCCTTTAAACATAAGCTTCAGTATGCATTCATTGTGTAGCCCTTTGTCAGCTCTTACAATGTAGTATCCACAAGCTTAATATGTATATGATAAATTACCGTGCAGAGGAGTTTAAAATGACATACTTTGCTCCTTCAGAAGCTGCTGTGTGAAAAATTAGAGGAACAGTTGCAAGATTTGGATGTTGCCTTAAAGAAAAAGGAGCGTGCTGAACGCAGGTATTTGTGTGTGTGCTAATGTTTACCTAGGAATTTGATAGCAGAAGTATCTTGCAGTATAGATGAATGTGTCTGTCTGAAGCAGGAATTAGCAGAATGCACAGTGAGGAGCATATCTGGCCTGCTGCCTGCTAAGAATGGTTTTGTGTTTTTAAATGGTTGGAAAAGAACTGTTATAATCTATTTCATGACACATTGAAATTGATACTCAAATTTCATTGCTCATAATTAAGTTCGGGTGCCACACAGCTTTGTTGATTTGTTTCTATATTGTGAGTGGTTGCTTTTGCCTTGTACTAGTAGAGTTGCATTAGATATTTAATGTTTCACTAAGTTTGAAAGATTCATTATCATTTCACTTTGTCGATCTCTTGAGTATTTTTCATTACCTACTGTGAATAAATGGTAGCCCAAGTATTTTGTACTTCGAGATTTTGTACTTAACTACCATAATGAGCATAAAAATCTGTAAGAATTAAGTCTAAAAATTTAGGTCATATAAGATCATCTCTTTGCATGGCCAATGTTAACACTGGTAAATAAAAGACCATTTAATTGCTGAACTGTGTCCAATGACTATACAACATGCCTGCATTTCAATATACCACTACAGTGTGATTTACAGCAGCTGAACAAGGTTATAGAGGGAGCAGGACTGAACTTCAAGCTGATATTTAAAAAGGAGTTCAGAGTAAAAATCGTAAATTTATTCCCTCACCCCCACCTCCCAGGTTTCACTATGCAGTTCAGACTGGCCTTGAACTCACAACGATCCTCCTGCCTCAGCCTTCCAAGTGCTGGGATTATAGGCATGTGGCACCATGACCAGCTAATATTTAGTCTATGTCTACACATTATTCATGCCTACTATACCAATTTTAAAAGATGAATAAGACAAAACTCTTGTTTATATGAAACTCACATTGTATTGAGAGAACCAATGATAAAATAAAATAGAAAAATAGAAGTCTATTCATAACAATACAAGGACATTGTAGAGGATCATATTATTCTTCCTGGGAGTTGGACTTTTCAGGAAATTTTAGAACATAAAGTTAGGGCATGTGGACTAGAGACAAGAAGTATTTCAGATAATTTGAGCACAGACCCAAGTAAAGGCAGAGTATAAAATTGAGGATAGGAAGATAGTACAGTTATACCTCTGTAAAAGCTGATCAAGTCCAAATTGCAAACAGCTTTGCATACCTGACTATGAAATTTGATTTACTCTCTGTAAGCATTTAAGGAATCATCAAACAAGGGGATTACGATATTTATTTTAAAAAGCTTTAGTAATAGAAAAAGGAATTACAGTTGGGATGTTGGCAGTATACAGCGTCACAGCCTGTGTGAGACCTACCTTCAGGCAGTCTTTATTATAGTAAGGTAGACATGTTACGAGATGATTTTTCAGGGGATTAATCTGTAGGACTATAGAACTCAACATTTGTTTTGTTTTGTGGATGTCTTTTGTTATTGTTTTAAAGTACTGTGTATTCAGTGTAGGACTTTAATGCTAAGCTACATTTCTAGCCATTTTTTATTTTGAGACTGTCTTGTTCAGTTACCCAAACTTCCTGCCCCAGCCTCTTTAAGTATTGGGATTAATGATAGTCCTTACTATCTTCTAGTGTATTATGAGAAATGTGATGTCTTCTGATTGGTTTTGTCACCTTCATTTGCTACGCTTTTTGACTTGTACCCTTTGACTCATGAATTCAGCTAACTGTATACTCATTTTTCTCCATGCGAAAGAGATCTTTAGTAAGTGCCACCTCTCTAGAACTTGTTTTGGTTTTGAGATAGGGTGTCACTATGCAGTTCAGGCTGTCCTTGACTTCACTGTGTAGCCCGGGCTGGCTGGCCTTAAACTTGCACTGATCCTTCTGCCTCAGCCTCCCAAATGCTGGGATTATACATGTGTGCTGCCATGCCCTGCGAATTATTATGATGTGCTAGGTTTCTCCCATTTTTATTTTTGATACTTGAAAATGTAACAGAAATGCTTCAGATTAAATCTGAAATACTCATTTGATTTTTCCTTTGCCTCAATCTTTTTTTTTTTTTTTTTTTAATCTTCATGTTCTTAGAAGTTGAGTATTCCTCTGCTTTCCCTAGAAAGAGAGATGGAATCAGAGCTGGGATGCTGCAGTAGCGTTGGTTATCTTTAATTGTCATCCTTTCTGAGAAGAGATCTGTAATTATGGTTTAGATCAACACTGAGTTCTAAGTGTGATTGTCATATGAAGGAGAACATCGTATGTTCACAATAGAAGAACATCTTTTCCTTTCTTTTCAGTTTTCTCTTTTTTTTGCATTTAGTTAAGTTTTATTGGGTATCTTTTCCACTATACCAGTGATGGCATATATGTGGTACACCTGTTGCAGCTTGCTGGTTTTTTTTTTTTTTTTTTTTTTGTGGAACCGGGGATCGAACTCAGGTCCTTGAGCTTGCCAGGGAAGCGCTTATTCCACTGAGCCATCTCCCCGGCCCCAGCTCGCTGTTTCTTATCATTGAAAGTTCTAAAAGGTTGGCCATTACTGCCCTAGATGGTAGAGATTTTTGAGGTAAAAAGCAGTATATGTTCAAGAGGAGAACAAAGATAATGTGATCTCCACCTCAACTAGCTGTACAGTGTAGTGAAAAGGCAGAAGGTGTCAGTGTTCTATTAGTAGCCAGCAACTATAGATCAGGAGCTGCAGTACTGTATGAAATGTGATGTTTTAGAACTCTAGAGCTGGCAAGATCACTCAGCGGATTAAAGCGCCTGCTTAGGCAGATGCAGGGGCTGGAGATTGTGGTCCCCAGCCTGCAGTGCCCCAGGGGTGTGCTGAGACAATGATTGAGACTGAGCTTGGTGGCATGCACCTGTAATCTCAGACCTTGGGAGGCTGAAAACAGGAATCACTATGAGTCTGATCTGTGTAGTGAGATCCTATAGACCCTGTACTAAATACCCAAAAAAAAAAAAAAAAAAAATTCTATTCAATGATTTATAAATATTCCCTCCAGAACTTGGTGCCAGAGATTATTTGGGAATTCAAATAGCTCCAGATAGATCGAATACTGCTAGTACTTTACTGGCAAAGAATTGGATTTAGTCAGGGTTAAAATTTTTCAGATAATTTAACAAAGGGAAAGAGAAGGACAAAGCATTTGAAACTGTATGCAAAAGGTTATTATAATAATGGACTGTGGGGTGTAAGCCATGTAAGGGGAAAGAAGCACATGAAGAGAGTTAATGGATAGTGTTCAAAAGACAGTAGGGGCCAGTACATAGATGTCCTCTTGGAATTGGAGAACTGTTGGAATCAGTACAAGGTAGAATAAGCTGGAAATCGGGCTAGTAGAAATTAATGAACAGGATGCCTACAATTGGAATTTTTGAAAGAATGTCATTCTGGGTAATGATAGACAGTGATATTGTCTTGTTCAGAGATAGGATAATTGAGCTAGATAGTGAGATGGAATAGAAGGTTATCTTTCCCTAACATTACTGAACAACAGAATGATGCGAAGAGAAGTACTTAAAAATCCTGCTCAGATATTACAAGCTTAAAGTTTTCTCAGCTCTTCAGACAAAATTGATTTTTATCTTCTCCATGTTTCTGTTGTACCTGTTTGTAACAGTCTGTAGTCACTTATTACATGATTGTGATGGAAGGAGCTATGTTATATTTACCTACAAATACTTCATCTTGGCCTACTGTAGTACATGTAAAAAGTGTTTTTCAGTTAAATGGAGGAAGGAAATATTTGCCAAATGAAAGTAGAGATTTATTTATTACATTTTTATTTAGTGTGTGTATGTGTGTGGCCAGCTCAGCCCACCAGGGGGCGGGGCTGGCTGGCATGTGGTGCTGGGGGATCGAACCGCGGTCCCTGTGCTTTGCCAAGCTTGTTCCAAGTAGGTGCTTTAGACCACTGAGCCATCTCTCCAGCCCGAAAGTAGAGATTTAAAAGATATAAAGAAATTTTGGGAAAAAAAATAAGTATGTACAACATCAAGAAAAAAAGATATAAAGAAAATGTCTCAGTAAACATAGTTAAAAAAAGACAGATACTAGGGGTAAGCAAAATATATAGTGAATGCTTAAATTGCTAAAAATGTACTATAGTAAAAGACACATTGCCATTAATCCTTTAAAAATATTCCAATCATCTCAGATACACTATCACATTGTTTTCCCAAGTTTCTGAAGCAGTTCTGGAAGTTGTTTTTTCTAAGTGTCTGTTAGAAGTGTGAAAACTTTTGAATGCTGCTGCCTGCTACCATCCAGTGGAAAAGGCGGGCTTGTAAAAGCATTGTGTCCTCATCCATATTTTTCACTGGATCTGGTGCCATGAAACTTCTGGCTATTTCTTGAGATTAAAATGTTTTGACTCCATCTAGGACATTCAGTTAGCCATGACAACACAGTTAAAGGCATTTACAAAGAGTTTGAGAAAGTAGCAAAAATCTTAGGAGCATTTTGAGGGCGATTTATGGCAGTGTATGTTTTAATTTAAACATTCATCATATTTTTCAATCACAATGTGTCACACACGTTTAATAAGAAGAGAGTTCAAACCGTGATGTCTTAGACTATTTCTTTTTACAAGTAGCACTATTCTTAACATCAAGTGCTTATTAAAATTGATATGTCAGGGACAACCCACTTGGGCCCCCCCTCCTCTTCCTCTCTCAGAAAGGAGCTTTCTTTCCCTCAATAAATATATTCTGCTCATTGGAAAATAAATGAAAATAAAATTGATTTGTTATATTCATAATGACATTTTTCCTGACATATCTATGGGATTCTTGTTAATAAGTCAAAGATTTATAGGTGTGTTAGGTCTGGGCATTATGGTGGAAGGGTGTGGTAGAGCAAAGCTCTTTACCTCATGGCAGCTCAAAATCCAGGAAAGAGAAAAGCCCAAGAGGGGGCCTGTCTCAGCACTTCAGAGCTATAGCTCCAGCAACCTGTGTGCTGTACCTGACCCCTAGCTCCTAATGGCTTCTTCAAGGTTATTAACCCATTCAGGAGTTCACAGCAGAATGAGGTCCGCTGTTCTTCTCTGGCTTGCTCTTTCACCACAGTATTTCTACCTTATCAGAGGCCCAGAAGCAGTGGAAAGAGCTGTGGAATAACACTTCTGAAACTGCACCAAAATGAACCTTCCCTTTAAATTGTTTCTTGCGGGCATTTTATCACTGTTCCATAATGCTGACACATTAGGGCAGTAAAAGCTGGGTCTAAAAGGATGAAAACAAGCAGCTGCATTAATTTCCCTCCAGAAAGGAAGTTACAGGCAAAGGGAAGAAGAGTTGTTACTATTTTAATTCATTTTAACATATCCTGGCATGTCCGAATTCAGCTATCTTTATTGTGTTGGATTAACATCGCAAAAGTGAGAGAAAGCTCCTGTGGTACATAGCTATTTGTAAGATTTGTTGAACTAAACTCATAAAAGTCTGGATTTTTTTGAAATGAAGCTATAGAAATGTCACTGGTGGTTCAGATCCTTGTCTTCTGGCTCTAAAGATTCCTTTATTGTATCACTGTAGAATGCAGAGCCGTATCTGCATTGTATGACTTTTTTATTTTTTAATTTTTTTTTTAAGATTTTAATTTTATTTATTTATGTGTGTGTGTGTGTGTGTGTGTGTGTGTGTGGCCAGCTCAGCCCACCAGGGGGCGGGGCTGGCTAGCATGTGGTGCTGGGGGTTTGAACCACCGTCCCTGTGCTTTGCTAAACTTGTTCTAAGTAGGTGCTTTAGGACCACTGAGCCATTTCACCAGCCCCTGTATGACTTTTTTAGCAAGAGCTGAGTCGTCTTCGTGTCTTTTACTCACACCTTGAAAAAGTTTTGTTATACATGATTCTTTTTTATAGTGATATTTATTAATAGATTATAGTTGTGCATATATACATACTGTTGGTTAAAAGTATTCTAACATTTTAAAAACTAGTTTATTCAATCAAAGCTGGATGTCTAATAACTAAGTTACATTATGACAGTTACATGTGGTGGCACACGCTTGTAATCCTACTACTTTGAGTGTCTGAGGCAGGAGGCTCGATCACAAGTTTAAGCCTAGTCTGTGCAGTTTAACAATTTAGCAAGACCCTATCTCAAAAATAAAAAATTAGAAAAGGATGGGAGATGTAGCCCTGTGTTACAGCTTATGTCTAAAGATATCCCCAAAGCCTTACACAGTCAAAAGTTGGGCTTTTCAGATGTGGCTAAATCTAGAGTATGATGCTGGGATGAAGTGTGGGATGCTGGGATTAAGAGTGTGTAGTTACTAAATTAGTCCACTGACTGATTTGGCATAATTCTGTGTGTGAATAACAGGAATGTCCATCCTGGGAGTGAGTGGATACCACGTTAGGGACAGAAAGAGGGCTCCTGGAAATGTTCGCTGGTTTATGCCCACCACAAGCTGAAACCTGTACATACTGAGGGTCAATAGACAAGTCACAGAAGGGATTCTTCAGAAAGCCTCCTTGTCTCTATTAGCGAAAGGTTTTATTTCACTGGTGTCCGTCCATTAAAAAAATATTTGTGTCCATTTCTTTAGAAAATTTAGTGCTTTTTAGCACTAATAGTTAACAAATACTAAGTTTTATAAATAATAGCAGATATATTTGTGACTTAGTCTTCCAGTACCATGAATTGTAATTTGATTATATGCATTAGTGATATTTTCATAGCAATTTTATTTTTAAAAAATCTTACTTTGTATGTACTTTTTCTTTTAAAGGAAAGAACGATTGGTATATGTGGGTATCAGTATTGAAAACATCATTCCTCCACAAGTAAGTTTCTGGTTTATAGTATTTATAAAGAAAAGATTGCTAAAAAAAAATTTAAAGAAATAAAAAGATTGCTATGATTATTCTAAAATTTAGCCTGTCATGTAGTATAATTACTTCTAAATATATACCTGTTTTATTAAAATTGAAAGTTTAAGACCTGAGATTGCCCATAGTCCTTCAAGATTGATCTTACATGTACGCAGATACCCTAAAAATGTGATATCACATCCAAGCTAAATTTATAGATCTTTCTGTTGAACTATCATGTTCCATTACTTTTTAGCTTAATCTGGTAATCTTGTGTTTAGCTTTTTTATGTTATTTATGTAAAACTGTTTGTTGAGAAAGGATTTTATTTGATAGTTCAGGCTGGCTTTGAACTCACTGTGTAGCCTAGGCTGGTCTGGAATTCAGGGTAGTACTGCTTCAGCTTCTCAAGTGCTAGTTAGAGCTGTGCACCATCATGTCTAGCAGTTTTTGTAAAATGACTAAATAGGTATAAAAAAAAAAAGAATAGTTAAGGAAGATCTGACTTTAATTTCCTGCTTTAGGAGTAATTGAAACTTTTAATTTGTATTGCTACTCAGTGTGGTTTGATGAAGTACTGTTGGCTTGCATTTTTGAGTCTGTACTTAAGAAAGGTAGTTGTGTGTGAAAATAAGTGGACCATGGTTTCCCGTTTGAAATGAAGATGTTTTCTTCATAAATTTTGTGCAGGCTTATTTAATCAATTAAACCACAGGCCTAAATAGCTTGTTATTTTCTTTCAGCATGATTACTTTTCTTTCAAATTAGTTATTTCATTCACTAAGTATACATATGTATCGAATATTGTGAGATTTAGTTACTGGTTGAAAAGTTTTATCAGTGAAAAACTTCAATCTGATAATTTTTAAACCAGCAATTATAATCTTAGTAATGTAAGAATTTTAATACAGATGTGTTTAATCCTTTGATCACAGTATTGCTTTTTTAGTCTGTATAATAATTAATATTCTCATGTGTATTTGGTTTGGGGGAGGGTATTCGCAAACTTTTTCAAACATTTAACAATGACGTCTAGATAGAGATCACAGAACTATTAATTCCAAGAAACTGTATCCTTTCATATCTATACACTTACTATATTTCTAAAGGAACCAGATTTTCCTGAAGATCAAGAAGAAAAGAAAAAAGATTCAAAAAAATCTAAAACAAACTTGCTTGAAAGAAGGTCAACAAGAACACGGAAATGTATAAGCTACAGGTATGAAATACATAGAAATGGCTGTAGTCAAAGAGTATAAAATGCTTTTGCAGATAGCATGACCCAGAACCATTTGGCTTTCTCTTCACAGTGATGATTTGTATGTGTGTACATGCTGTTCGTTGGTATCTGCAGGGCACTGATTCTAGAACCAGGGCACTGAGAATGCACTGCAGTGGAGCATGTGTTTGATCCTTAGCATTGCAAAGGAAAAGGAAAAGAATCCACTGTTCCCAAGAATACAAAAGATGTGCAGATATTCAAATTCCTTGTATAAACACAGAGTACTTGGGCAGTCCATTCTGGTCCCCTTCTTTCTCTCTCGGACAGAAGCTTTCTTTCCATCAATAAATATATTCTCCTCTTAAAAAAAATACTCACATAGAATCATCACATCTTCTATTTTAACTGCCTCTAAATCACTTGTAATAACTAGTATTAGGTGGTTTTACTATATTAAGGAACATGAACAGGGAAAAAAATGTCAATATAGGCACAAATTTTTCTGATATTTTAAATTAGCAGTTAGTAGAATCCATAGATGTAGAACACTTGGGAAATGACCATCTATAGATTTATTACCTGTATCATCTTTAGAGTCACAGAATTTTGGGCAATTATGTTTTCCAAAGATAAATACCTTAGGCCAAGGCAGGAGGATTGCCACAAATGTGAGGCTAGGCCAAGGCCAGCCTGAACTAGACCATCTCAAGAAAAAAAAGAAAAGGTCACAATGTGCTGCACAGTCTGGCCTCTGCTTACACCGTGTCATCCACATACTTGCTCACCATTGTATATTCACTCCGCTGTTATCTGGTAGCCTTTGCCTGTGCTGTTTGCTTTGTCTGCAATTTTCATCTCTGTTTTTTTTTTTTTTTATAACTTCTGTTAGTTCAAATCTCACCTTTGTATACCTTCCTACCAACCAGTTCTCTTTGAAAGCATTTGTGTTTATATCATGTGATTAAAATTAGTTCATTACTGTTTTTCTACCCACAGACTATTCGTGTAAAAGGTAAAGACCATGTGTATTATGCATCCTCGTGTATCTTACACCTGGCATAGTGTTGACAAATAATATGTGCCAATAAGTGCCTAAATGCATAGTGAAAGAATTAACAAATGTAATGTTTTCCTTTTGCCACCAGATACCACAAGGGGATGTTTTTTCCATTATCACACCATTAGTAGCTTAGCTTGTTAAAACCTTATCATTTGTTTCCTCATCTAATGTTCTTTCCACCAAATCACATTGTCTCACTCAAATGATAAATTAATTTTTTTATGACTAAAAAGAAAATACAAGTAGCATATACCTGTAATACCAGCACTCAGGAGGTTGAGGCAGGAGAATCACCATGAGTTTAAGACCAGCCTGGGGTACAAAGTGAGTTCAACATCAGCAAGGACTGCATAGTGAGACCCTGTCTCTAAACAAAACAGAAGAGAAAGAGACAAACTGGAGAGCTTATAAACAACAATTTATTTTTTTATAGATTGTCCTTCCAGCTTTGTGTTCACATGGTTGAAAAGGTATTGAGACTCTAGGCCAGATCTGGTATGTTTCCTCATGTGTGGCTCTTGTCATTGTAACATTACATGGTCTCTCTCTGCCCTCTTTTATGAAAGCATTAATCTAATTCTTGAGGGTCCTACCTCCTAATACCACTGCTTTGGTAGTTAGGGTTTCGAGATTTGGATTTTTGAGTTAATTGCAGGTTAGCTCAGTTGTTTAAAGCACCTGCTTGGGCAAACACAGTCAGGTGCAGGGGTCCGCAGTTCAATCCCCAGCTCCACAAGCAACACCAGAACCGCCCTTAAGGCAGCCTGAGTTAGCCAAAAAAGAAAAATCCTTCTATAATATTTGGGCCAGGGCGATGGATCAGTAGAATAAGTGCCTGCCTGGCAAGCTCAAGGTCCTGCATTCAATCCCTGGTACCCTCCCCCCAGATTTTGAATTTTTAGTTGACACCAAAATAGCATAAAACTGTTGGGGTTGGGAGGCTGGTGCAGCATGTGGTGCCAAGAATCGAAGTGCGATCCCTGTGCGCTTGCCTAAGCAGGTGCTTTAGACGGCTGAGCTATCCCGCCAGCCCAGAAAACTGATTTTTAAAAGTCAGAAACCAGCTAGGTGTGGCAGTGCACACCTGTAATCCCAGAATTTGGGAAGTTGAGGCAGGAAGATCACAAGTTGGAGGCCAGCCTGAGCAACATAGCTACACAGTTGAACTGCACAGTGAGACATACTATCTCAAAAAACAAACATACAGACACCTCCACAATATAAAGTCAAAACCCAGAGCAGGGCATGATTGTATACCTGTAATCCCAGCCCAGAAGCAGAATTGAGAGTTGAGTCCTGGGATATTTCAGAACCTGAGTTTAAGACTCTACTTGAGAAACTTTGGGGTAGCTCAATGTGAAGGTCCCATGTTCACTCCTCTGTAGCACCAAGCAGGTACATATATATGTGTATGCTACAACAGGCTGTAATGTGATTATCCTGTGTGTTTCAGATTTGATGAGTTTGATGAAGCAATTGATGAAGCTATAGAAGATGATATTAAAGAGGCTGATGGAGGAGGTATGTGTGTAATCATTATTGTATAACTGCCAACAAATTATTTCAAATTCCCAAATTATTTACTCTGGTTCCAAATGGAATACTAGTAAAACTTTTCTGTGGTCTTTGTAGCCTACAAAGTCTTAAAATTTCTAGATAATCCGAATCTGCAGGGTTTATTTAAAATAGCCCATTAAAAATTCATTTACTAATTTCATGCTTTTAAAGGTAGCATGATTTAAAGTACTATGTTCCTTGAGTCCTAGTGCTCTGAAGTGGGAACACTGAGCTTTTCTTGGTTATTATGAAAACTGGAAAGACTTAAGTAAGGTTTTTAAAGATGGGACTGAAGATGTTACCTGATTTCCAGAAATGTTCCACTTTTTCTGTTCTAAAAATATACCTTAGGGTGAAAAACATCATTTGACTTCTTTCTAGAGGTTTTTAAAAGTGACTGCAAATAGATGTTAGGTTTCTTTTGGGGGTGATAAAAATACTTAGGAATGGCTTGGTAGTGATGGCTGCACAACTGTGACTCTACTAAAACTAAGTGCTGGGGAGATGGCTCAGTGGAATAAGCACTTCATTGGCAAGCGCAAGGGTCTTGAGTTCAATCCCTGGTTCCACCAAGGGGGAAAAAAAAAAAAAAAACTCTGTCTCCATAAAACTGCCTAAATTGCATCTTTCCATAGTGCTACCCAACAAATAGGTATTGTGCTACATGAATTAGTACAAAAAATGAGGTTCTTAGGGGTCAAGAAAATAGATCAATAGAATAAGATCTTGAGTTCAATCCCTGGTACCACAAAAAAAAAAAAAAAAAAGATTATTTACAT